ATAGCATCAAGCCTTTCATTCATAGCATCAAACCTTTCATCCATACCATTAAATTTGTAGGTCAAGAAGGATACCAAGCTATTAAGCCTCTCATCCCCTAAATCTGGTGGTATAGCTGCCTGAGGCATATCTTCATCGTCTAGTGCAAGATAATTTGATAAGCGTGTTACTCTTTGATCAGTCATCTGAATATCTCTTTCTATTTTCCTAACCTTGGGTGGAGCTCCAAATTCCTTTTCGTGATATCCGTCTTTAACCTGTTCAAAGAACCGTTTGGCCACCTTTACTTCCGTTGGAACTCCTTCTTTCTTAGACTTGCAGTAATACGCATTTGCACCATACACACCCTCTTTCGTGTACCAATTATCAACTCCTTGAAGTTCCAATTCCTCTGGTACAGTTAGAGAAATATCGTTACTAGAATGTAAATCACTGTCCATGATATAGAGTTGTTTAAATAATCATAATATGCGCTATTTTAAACAACACACGATGTTGCATTATATATACTAAAGTAAATTTCATTGAGACAAATCTGAAACAGCTATACACACAATAATTCTGAACAGTTTCAAATTGAAATATTTTACCCCGATTACCGCTTCATGGATGCTGGGCCAAGATTGAAACTCACGCAATTATAAGTAACCGGGTTTCAGGAAAGAAATGAATAGGCTCATGGCAGACAATTTTTCGTAATATCTTGTAGATTAAGCATTCTTGTTTATGGAATATGTGTGGATGAGCCCTTCTGATTTATGTGCTTCCTGTGGCCAGAACCAGTCCTCATGAAGGATTTTTCGGGTGATGAGTCTGAAAACATTTTATTTTGTTGTTTCTCTTTAAGCTGCGAAATCATCAAGGCACTTTATCAGTCGGTTGTATTACCTAACTTCAATTTTCGATCAAGTTGGTTTAGTAATTCATTTCTCTTGGACTTTACTTTCATCTCTAGCAGCTATAAGTCCTAACCAATGTTCAAGAGTTTGACGGCTCTAATGACACTTACGACCTACAATCATATTTCTTTCAACAATCGGTTTTTGATTACCAGTCTGAGATAACAAATACGTTTAATGTTTACAAGTGAGCCTTTTTAAAATGTAATTTAGAACGTATCTTAAAGTTATAAGTAGAAATATTAATACACACTATTATAATATAATTCTAATATGCAAATAAGAATTAAAATCTAATATTAAAAGAATTGATATTCAATTTCGATGGTCATCTTGATTTCCAACAATTGTAATGAGGTGGAAAAATAATTTTCTTTTAATGTCAGTAAAATCAGGATTAGAAGATTCAATGTATTGCGTTAATGTTCATTCAATGAGCCCAACCCAAAGAATTTGAAGCATTTACTGGTTCAGAGATGGGTACACTGCCCACTCCTTCCCCAGAGGAACTGTCGCCTAATCTATTGAATAATCCTGAGATACCAGCGCCATTACTTTGGATTGTAGAATTGTTGGTTGCTAATCCAATATTACTTTCTGAGTCAGAAGAGGGCAACTCAACACCATTGTTCTTTTTGTACTTCTTGAATAATAAAACCATTAGGGACATGTAAATACCGCAACCAGCTGCTGCACCGATAGCAATACCCGCAATCTTACCTTTATTGGATACAGTTGAATTACCCGAGTCCATAGATCCATTATTTGATGAGCCCCCACTCTTGGTACTACTAGAAGTATTTTCAGTTACCAATCCAGTTAAAGGAATCCTCTTATCAATAAGCGAGGCTAATTGATGTTCTGTCGATGATGGATTGGAGTATAATTTAGAATCAGATGTCTGAATGTAGGTGTTCAATTTACTAACCAAGTCCGATGGAAAGTATACTTCGGCAACCGAAATTGTATATGATATCCCACTAGCTGTAAATGGAATGATTTTCTTGACTGAAACTTTATCTAACGCTGATTCATCATCAAATGGGAAATTCAAAGTGTTTGGCAAATATTGGAAAATTTGTGCAGAAGACAATGAATTTTCAACAACGAATGGGTAATTCAATGAAGACTTGAATCCAATATACACAACTTCATAATTCTTCCCTGGTGCCGTAGCCAGTTGCCCTGTAATTGCCTTTGGTAAACCAGAAGGCTCAGCTGTAGTTGGAGATGCTTGACTGACAGAATTATCAGCGGATGCAGTTGGTTCACTAGTTGACGTTTGTTCAATAATCTGAGATGGTAACCAATTGTTTGTAGTTGATACCGTTGGGACTGTTTCGGAAGCAGGCAATACCTCAGATGATGCAACTGCCGCTGAGGATGCAATTGGTGGGTTGACTGTAATGGAGGATGGCATCGAGATTATGGATTCCGCACTAGACTCCATTGTATTGATAGGCTGCGAGTCTGATAAAATTTGAGTTTGGGATTCAGATACCACTGATTCACTGATAACAGATGATGTGACAACAAATGATGACAATGGTTCTTCTGTCTCTACTGCTGATTCACTTGCAGCTGAAGTCAAAGCAACGTAAGAGGATGAAACCACTGGCACAGAACTTGAAGTTGGTTCGACATCAGATTCTAAAGATTGAGTCAGTGGGACGACGTTCGAAGAAGGTGGTGCATTCGACTCGAACGGTACAGCACTAAAGCTTTCACTTGTTACTGAATTAGTAAATTCTGCATGAGAACTTGAAGTTGGAATAGGTGGAGTGGATGGGTCCGATGAAACGGCTGGGTATAAAGATGACGTTTCTTCAGCATTAGAAACAATCGAAGATGGCGCCGAATCTTCTGACGTCTCAGTTGGGTTTACAAACGCAGTTGGAGAACCAGATGAGCTTTCTGAAACGCTGGAAAATGGAGTTTCAAATGATTGCTCTGTTGAAGTTCCCAAACCAGTAGAAGATTGTGATGGACCAATAAAATCCGTCGAGGATTCTGATGGAGGGTTTGTTGGAGAGCTAGACCACGTGGAGTAGAAAGGAGTTTCTAAAGAGCTCTCTGTAGCAGTAGCATATTCAACAGAAGAATCCAGAGTTCTTACCGGCTCACTTGACCAAGTCGAATAAAATGGGGTTTCCAAAGAGCTTTCGGTTGGTGATGCAAGGTCAGTCGATGATGTCAATGTACTTTGCGAAACGTCAGATGAAGGAAACACCGATGGAGCTGTAAAAGAAATCTCAGTTGCACTAGTGATCTCACTTGAAGATTCAAGCGTGAGTTCTTCCGCATTCATCGACGAGGATGACGATATTTCGAAAGAGCTTTGTGTTGGACTAGCAAACTCAGTTGAAGATTCAGATCCATCATATGTAGCAGAAGACAAAGCACTTTCTGTTGGACTGGCAAACTCAGTTGAAGATTCAGACCCATCATATGTTGCAGAAAACAAAGTACTTTCTGTTGGACTAACAAACTCAGTTGAAGATTCAGACCCATAGTATGATCTGTCGGATGAAAAACCGGCATCAAAAGATGGGGCGGCTGAACTTTTTTCAGGGTCACTTGTTGATGGGGTTACAGACGAACTCGAGTCACCAGTTGCAAACAAACCATTAAACATTAATGATGAGGCAGACGCTGAAGCATCTGCATTAGTGGAGCTCACTGTTCCTGTAGAGGTTGAACTGGAGCTGAAATCAGCCACGCTAACACTTTCAAATGAAGTTTCTGAAGATGTTTCTGCAGACGTACTAAGAGACGATTCAGACGGCATAGATGAAGTACCCGAAGTTGATACACCAGTTGCATCAGTTGAAGATTGAAGATCGTATTCGGCCGATGTAGTCGAATCTGATTCTGATGAAGACTCCGTCGATGAAGGGGCAGAATTAAAAAGGTCAACGACAGATGGAGATTCAGTTGACGTGCTAGGGGCAGACGAGGTCGTGAAGGTATCAATTCTTGAAGAACTCTTGGAAGTTTCCATCGCTGCAGATGTGGATTGAACGGAAGATGCTACGGATGAAGACTTTTGGCCAAACATCCCGAGCCAGTTGAATCCAGACGATGAAGTTGGTCCTGAAGTCTCTGATGTTGGTGATGACGCAGCCGTCTCAGCTGTCGTTCCCGTGGCATGATTGGATGAAGTACTGGTAGGTTCCGTGCCCTCATTGAATGAGGAACTCGTTTGTTGTGTAGCTTCGTTATTCGCTTGCTCAGTTGTGTCTTGAGTACTTGACGTGGCGGAATTGGCAGTTTGCGATGCAGTACCTTCCGTACTTGAAGTGGCTTTGTTAGCAGCTTGTTCAGTGGTACCTTCCGTACTTGAAGTGGCTTTGTTAGCAGCTTGTTCAGTGGTACCTTCCGTACTTGAGGTCGCGGTATTCGCAGTTTGCGATGTAGTACCTTCAGTACTTGATGTGACTTTGTCTTCAGCTTGATCTGTAGATGAAGTTGCAGGAACCGTAGATGTTTCAATCGATGTGGTGGCCGCATCAGTAGGTCTTCCAGTAGAGGTAGTAGCGCCTGTAGAAGGACCGGTAGAAGAAGTGCTAGTGGCCGCCTCTTCAGTTTCCGACTCAGGATTCATCCATGCAAATGGGTTGAATCCGTTCGACGAAGTCGCAGCAGCGGCCGTTGTGACATCATCGGTCGATATACCTTCGTCTGCTGCTCCTGTTGTCGTCGCTTCGTTGTTATTCTGATTCCAGTTCGAGTTTTCCCAACTGTTCGGCGATACAGCCGCTGCTTTACGGTTATTTGACAACCCATACTTCTTCTCTGTACTCTTCCTCTCTCCTAGCACCCCTGGCGCCTGTAGCAACGCCAATAACGAGACTATCCGAATAAAATTAGTTGTGTCAAAGATCATTCTAGATATATTTTCGTTTCGTTCTTATTGCATAAATATACCTCCAGGTGGTTATATCGTTTAACGATCGGTTTTCTGTTGTTTAAGGAAAAGAAAGACTGTAGTTGGAAACCTATTTTAAAAGAAAGACTGGGCGGCTAAGCAATATGTTATGTGTAACAATTTACTTTATTTATATCTCTGCGAATTGATGATACTTAGAACGTTGATATTATCTTGTTATAATATCTTATACCTCTCAATTCACCAAACGATCGATAAATACCTATGATAATAGTATGAAAGAAAACTATGATAAAAAAAAACAACTATTAACCCTTAATAAGAGTATCACTGAGAATGTATATCGCGGTTTTTCAAAAACGAAAAAATTATCCTGTGGATTTTGTGTAATCTCCTCCCTAAATTCCACAATAAAACAGGTACCCATTGTTAGACGAACAATTACGTTGAACTGACACCAAACAATAGTAAACAAACTTGCGGCGCGTATGAAAGCAGTAAAATTGTGCGAATACGGGAGTGTAAGGAGAACCTGGACTGGTATGTACCAATTATATACTGTGAATTACGCAGGGGCATAGCGAGGATTTTAGTGGGAATTAGGTCGGTTAGGCTTACGCGTTATTTAAATGAGAAGACAAGTCTAGAATTG